GGATGGAGGGAGGGAGGGATGGAGGGAGAGAGGGATGGAGGGATGGAGGGAGGGATGGAGGGAGGGAGGGATGGAAGGATGGATGGATGGAGGAATGGAAGGATGGATGGATGGAGGAATGGAAGGTTGGCTGGGGGGATTGTCCTCCCCATCCCACCCACCACCTGGTTGTGCCCCCCAGACGTCCCAGGAGTTCATCGAGAAGCTCCAGAAGAGGTTGGGGAAGAACCCTGAGGAGACCGGGGGTTTCCAGGAGGCTCCTCTGGCCTATGATGCCATCTGGGCTTTGGCTCTGGCCCTCAACAAGACCTCGACGGAGCTGGTGAAGAAGGGGCTGCGTTTGGAGGACTTCAACTACAACAACAAGAACATCACCGACGAGATCTACCGGGCCCTCAACTCTTCAGCCTTCGAGGGCGTCTCGGTGGGTTGTCCCCCCTGGAGACCCTGCCCCATCCCTCCTCCCCTCTTGTCCCCATCCTGCCCAACGAGGTCTCCCATGTCCTCAACTCTCCACCTTGGAGGTGGTGGTGGAGGTGACTCGAGGGCACCTGCCAGAACGTTGTCCCCATCCACCTGTGGGATCGTGGTGCTGCCACCTGACGTGTCCTTGTCTCCATCCCACCCCACAGGGACACGTTGTCTTTGATGCCAGTGGCTCCCGCATGGCCTGGACCCTCATTGAGCAGCTCCAAGGTGAGTGACACCCCGAGGTGACCCCCACAACACCCCCCCTTGACCTGGTGAACCATCTCATCTACACCGCGACGTGCACGTGGTGACGGGTCCCACCACCACCCAACATCTCCAGGGGTGACAACACCCGTGGGACAACCCCCTTCTCCACACCCTTCTGGCCACGTGTGCAACGGGACATGTGTCCTCACCAACCTGCAGCTGCTCTTGGGTGGGATGGAGGGAGGTCCAGAGGTGGGGGAGGTTTGGAGGACAAGCAGGGGCCTTGGGACAAGGACAAGAAAGTCTTCAAGAGCCACCATGGGTTCACCAAGGAGAAGACAAGCTTGACCAAGATGACCACCTTCTACTGGTTTGGTAGATGAGGAGGGAGCTGTGGACATTGTCAACCTTGGCTTCACCACAGAAGATCCTCAGGGATGATGGAGTCTTGGGCTGGATGAGCAGGGGGTGGAGGGACCAGGCAGGTCCAGGGCTTGGAGCTTCAGTGGCCCAAAGTCCAGGTGGGGACCAGTGCCCAGGAGTCCACCCTGGAGGTCAACACTGGGTCCAGTCCTGCTCAACACCTTCATCAGTGGTGGAAGCTCAGCCAGTTGTTGATGGCACCAAACGGAGACAACCAGAGGTCCAAGAACCACCTGGAAGAACCTCAAGAGGTTGGAGAAATGGGTTGAGAGGAACCTCAAGGGGAAGTGCTCCAGGAACCACCCCGGGCACCAGGATGGGCCTCTTGGGTCAAGCAGCTTTGCAGAGAAGGTCCTGGTGGGCACCAGGTTGACCAGTGCTCCCCAGTAGATGGGACCTCCTGGAGAGGAACCAACAAGGACCACGGAGGTGATGAAGGGACAGAAGCACAGGAGGCTCCAGTTGAGCATCAGGAACCACTTTTTCATGGTGGAGATGACCAAGCAGAAGGTGCCCAGAGAGGTGGTGGGGCCTCCATCCTTGGTGACATCCAAGTGCCACATGGAGACAATCATGGACAATGGGCTCTGGGAGGTTCTGCTTGAGCAGGGGGGTTGGACCAGATGAGGTCCCTTCCAACCCCCCCACCAGCCTGTGCTGCTGTAGGGGTGTCCACAAGCCTTGGTCCTCCCTGCCACCCCCCTGACCCACCCCTGTCACCCTACAGGAGGTGTCTACAAGAAGATTGGCTACTACGACAGCACCAAGGACAACCTGTCCTGGTACAACAATGACAAGTGGATCGGTGAGGAGCACCAGGGGGGAGGGGTGACCAGGGTGGTCCCCCACCATGGGGAAGGGTCGAGGACCATCCCCAGACCCCTCCTCATTGTCCCACGGGCTCTGCAGGAGGTGCCCCCCCCGCCGACTACACCAAGGTCATCACCACCTTCAGGTTCCTGTCCCAGAAGCTCTTCATCTCCGTCTCGGTGTTGGCCTCCTTGGGCATCCTCTTGGCCATCATCTGCTTGGCCTTCAACATCTACAACGGGCACGTCAGGTCAGTGGGACCCTCCCAACCCCACCCCTTCTTCCTGGTCTCTTGGGGGGGAAACATCCCAACCTTCAAAAAAAAGCTGAGGAGAACGTGGTGCTCGACACCCCCTGGGACCTCCAGGAGGTGTGGCTGGGGTCCCCGTTTGCCCCATCGAGCTGGGTAGGAGCTCTGGGTGACACCAAGGGCCTGGTTGTGGTCTCCTGTGGGCTCACTTGGTCTCTTAGAAGCATGGGATGGGTTGGGTTGGAAGGACCTCAAAGCTCATCTAGATCCCACCTCCCTGCATGGGCAGGGACACCTCCCACCAGCCCAGGTGGCTCCAAGTCCCATCCAACCTGCCCTTCAACACCTCCAGGGATGGAGCAGCCACCTTGAAGGTCACCCAGGTGGTCTTCAAGGTCCCTTCCAACTCAAACCACTCCATGATCCAAAGAGCTTCTAGATCCACCTCCCTGCCATGCGCAGGACCATATCCCACCAGCCCAGGTGGCTCCAGACTCCATCTCTGGAGTCACAGAAGGGTTTGGGTTGGAAGGACCTCCAGAGACCACCCAGTCCCACCCCCTGCATGGGCAGGGACACCTCCCACCAGCCCAGGTGGCTCCAGGCCCCATCCAACCTCCCCTTGGACGCTTCCAGGGATGGGAGATCACCCAGGTGGTCTTCAAGGTCCCTTGCAACTCAAACCATGATCCAAAGACCTTCCAGATCCAGGGATGGAACAGCCACCTTGAAGATCATCTAGTAGATCATCCAGGTGGTCTTTAGAGTCCCTTCCAACTCAAACCACTCCATGATCCAAAGAGCTTCTAGATCCACCTCCCTGCATGGGCAGGAACACCTCCCACCAGCTCAGGTGGCTCCAGGCCCCATCCAACCTCCCCTTGGACACTTCCAGGGATGGGAGATCCCCCAGGTGGTCTTCAAGGTCCCTTCCAACTCAAACAATGATCCAAAGACCTTCTAGATCCACCTCCCTGCATGGGCAGGAACACCTCCCACCAGCTCAGGTGGCTCCAGGCCCCATCCAACCTCCCCTTGGACACTTCCAGGGATGGGAGATCCCCCAGGTGGTCTTCAAGGTCCCTTCCAACTCAAACAATGATCCAAAGACCTTCTAGATCCACCTCCCTGCATGGGCAGGAACACCTCCCACCAGCTCAGGTGGCTCCAGGCCCCATCCAACCTCCCCTTGGACACTTCCAGGGATGGGAGATCCCCCAGGTGGTCTTCAAGGTCCCTTCCAACTCAAACCACTCCATGACCCAAAGACCACCCAGGGATGGAGCAGCCACAAGTTCTCAGGGCAACCAACCCCAAGGTCTCCCCACCCTCCTGGGGAAGGAAACGTCCCCGTTTCTCACCTCCCATGGGGTGACCGGGCACCACGGGTGGCCAGGAGTGGGGGTGGTGACCAGGTGACACCTGGTGTCCTGCAGGTACATCCAGAACTCCCAGCCCTACCTGAACAACATGACGGCCGTGGGCTGCACCCTGGCGCTGGCAGCCGTGTTCCCCCTGGGGCTGGACGGGCATCACATCGGGCCCGGGCTCTTCCCCCTCGTCTGCCAGGTGGGCACCTGGGGGTCTGCTGGGGCACCTGGGGGTCTGCTGGGACACCTGGGGGTCTGCTGGGGTCATCTAGGGGTCTGCTGGGGTCATCTGGGGGTCTGCGGGGGCACCTGGGGGTCTGCTGGGGTTAGGGACACCTGGAGATCCAACCAGGGTGGGGACACCTGGAGATCCTGCTGGGGTTGGGGACACCTGGGGGTCTGCTGGGGTCACCTGGGGGTCTGCTGGGACACCTGGGGGTCTGCTGGGGCACCCGGGGGCCGGCTGGGGTCGTCTGGGG